GGTTCCTACGGCTCCAACAAGAGGGACCCAGAGGGATGCCCCATGGTCAGGTGAGAGGTTCACGTCGCTGCCTTGCATCCCCTAGGGATAAAAGCCTGGCATGTCGCACTTTCCCCAAACACTGAGGCAACCAATTCTGTAACCTGCTTGTAAGGCAGGAGGTAAAAGAGGTTCACTTCCCCTCTGTCCTCCTCCGGGATCTATTCAGTGAACCTGAACACAATTTGTAAGTAGTTTCCAACTGTTCCTTGTCCCAGAGAGACAGGAGACAACAGATGGGCGCAGAAAACTGCAGTGAGGAGCACAGCAGGACAACATTTTAAGCGTAATAAAGCAGCCGCTACAGAGCACTGGAAACAGTAGATTGAAAACAAAAAGACCTTTTTCTTGACTGTCAGGAGGGCAGTGATTTGGTCACTCAGTGAAGGCATTTGGTGCCTTTTTAGATGCCATGGGTAGCCTGAACACCAACACCGGGCTAACAGAGGGTCCCTCTCCTGGAGGAGCGGCTGGAAAGGTGGGCTGCCCTGGGCTGTCTGAAATTGCACTGGATGTCAATGTTTCGGCAAAAGAATCCCACCCGAAGATTTGGCAGAATCCAAGGAATTCTCTAAGAGTCTCTGAAGAAGAAGGCACCCCTTCAAGGTCAGCACCTATATAGAGCAGTCCAGCTATAGGGCTCCAGAAGGCCATACGGGGCAGCACTATGAAGCCAGGCTCTTTTTCACCCCTCCAGGCAGAGGAATCTGCTTAGCTGGCATGTGGGAATTTCTTCCCTTTCAAGTCCTTCATGGTGAATTAAGTTTTTGAATCCCATCCCCATTGGTCACTTTGCCTAATCAAAGCTCTGTTACTATTTCAGAGGGGGCCTGTGCCATTTTTGTGACTCTACTAAATTACTTTGTTCTGGCACGAATACATTTGCTCCTTGATGTTCTTTTTAAAATGAAAATGGATATGAAAATTTACTCTAAAGTGTACATTGCTCATAAAACTTTTATTAAGTATTATTAGTGCTTAAGAGAAGGATTTAATGTATTTGTGAAGCCAGGCTACAGGATCCCTATATTAAAAGCAGTCTTACGCTTAGGACTGATTTACGCCGAATAGCAGAGATGAGCCTACACCAAGCTTGCAGTTCTCCTACCACCTTTCCTGCTCGAGCTCGGCCTCCTGGCAGCACAGGAGACATTTCACCAGTTCGATGCTACTCTAGAAAGAGGGTGCTAGAGACCTACAAGCAGACACTGCAGCTGATGTTGCATGTCAGGCAGGGCTTTAGGTACATTCATAACAAGCACTGGAGGAAACGCACAGGTTGTTCCCCCCTTCGTTGCCTTTCAAGCCCTTGTCACGCGAAAGGCTCAGAGGGTAATTATCCTGCATTTCATTAGGAAGAAGCTGATGGTGCTTAGGGGAGTTCAGATGCAGAGATCCCCCTGGAAGACAGGGGAGAGCGGGATGCTTGCTCCTGTTCAGGCACCTTCTCTAGAGGGTTTCCTAGCACAGGCATCATCCTTTTGTTGACAGTTTACATACAGAGAGGGGAAAAAATTCCCCTGCTCTCACACCAGAACGTTACCTCAAATGAAAAATCCTATTTTACCTTACGCTACATAGGTATAAGCTGCAGATCTTTCTGTCTGCCATAAGGACAGTTACAGGAACCACCGAAAGAGACTGAGGGCTGAAAAACTCATAGGAACATTATAAATGTCTTGAAGAAACTGATGTCCCTGCCTAACAGCCACCCTGGGAGGATGACTTGAAAGGCTGAGGGACTTGGGTCTCTTCAGTCTACAGAAAAGAAAATTGAGGGGGATCTCATTAATACTTACAAATACTTAAAGGGCGGGTGGCAGGGGGATGGGAGCAGTCTTTTTTCAGTGGTGCCCAGTGACAGGACAAGAGGGAACGGGCACAAACTTGGAACATAGGAAGTTCCATCTTAACATGAGAAGGAACTTCTTTACTTTGAGGGTAGTGGAGCACTGGAACAGACTGCCCAGAGAGGTTGTGGAGTCTCCCACTCTGGTGACATTCAAAACCCGCCTGGACGCTGTCCTGTGCAACCTGTTGTAGGTGACCCTACTCTGGCAGCGGGGTTGGACTAGATGATCTCCAGAGGTCCCTTCCAACCCTGACCATTCTGTGATTCTGTGACTTCTCAGTTTCTCCTCTGTTACCCACTTTCATTTGATTCATGACATCTCATTATTTGTGTGCCCAAATACCTGGGCTCAGTAGCCTTTGCAGGACACCAGAGGTGTAGCCACCATTCTCTGAAAAAAAAGTGAAACCAGACTTCTGTGCAAAGTGATGGTAGAAGCTGCCTCAGTGCGTGGGTGAGAGGACAGGAGTGGAAGCTGCTGGGCTTTTAAAGGCAAAGTAAGTGGCATGGCACTCAACGTAGTCTCCAGAAATCAAGAGAGGACAACCCCAGCCCTGTATTATACACAAGCAGGGGGAAGCAAGAGGAGAGAGCAACTTTCTGGTGGGCCAGAGATCGCGGAGGGGTCTCATATGACAGTGTTCAGTTCTCTATGGAAGGGATAAAGGGAGGGGATGGGACCACGAAAGTAACAGCGCAACACCAACAACCAGGCTAAGCATACATTCATTAAACAAAAGGACTGCTACTCCTTATGCTTCCAGGTAACAGATATTTCTTGATGATACTATCAGCAGATTTCTATCAATAAAAGTTTCAGCCAGAAGCTTCAAACCCAAGGACTTGTGTCTGGAGCTTTTATTAAAATTCTATGCAAAATGTATGCAAAGCTTACACTATTATCTCAAACAGATCTCAAAAGTACTTTTACTTCCATAAAATGAATTGCTAAAGTGCAAAGGCTTCCCAAGCCATGGCAATAATGGCACCAGGACCTCCTCTAAATATTTATATAATGTGATTGCAGCCATTTTCCAAAATCCTTCATAAAGGTATTAAAACATTAAGAGCTGATCCTAACTCTTAGAGGGAATGTCTAACTATTATAAAAATTTCCCTTTTCAGTAAAACCCAGAGACCTTTTTCTTTGCTTTATTCCTACTATAAAAATCATTTAAAGCCCATTTAATCAGGGTCACCCAGGTGCATGAAAGATCTTCAGGCCCATGTTTGTTATATACATCTTTTCTCGACTGGACTAACAGCTCTCAGAGGCAGGATTCCCCCTCAGGGTTTCTACAGCCCCTGAATCTTATGGTTTCATCATACCAGAAGTTTTTCTCCCCTCCGCTTTCCTGTGTCCTGCTTTGCTTATGGACTCCGTGACTGTTGTGACATCTGAGGGGGTTATTTTGTAGTGAGCTTATCGCTGCCTGACTTTATCGGCACTGGCATTAATATGGAAATGTGCTTGGCAGCTATTTGTGCTTTTTTAACATTTGACATCGGGGCATTTTGACTGCCTTTCCCCTTTGGAAAACAAACCTTTCTAAAGGGCAGTGTCATGTCCGAGCAGTGCCCAGGCACAAACAAGCTCCTGTAGCTTGCCGAGTTACCACGCGTCAGCTGAGCCCCGACATTCCTGCGGCACCAGAACGGGCAA